GTTTTCCCAGGGGCTCCCATGTCTGCTCATTTCTGGCTGTCTGCCTGCTCTAACCCTCCCAGAGCTTATATGCTACATTTGACATGGAGACAATTCAATGTGAAGGGATCACATCAGTCCTCCAGCTCCCCTCACTGCAAATAACCCACTCAAACTCCAGAAAATTCACCCAAGAATCGTCAGCAAATAACCAGCTCAAACACCAGAAAATTCACTGCAGAATCATCAAAATAGTATAGTATATTCAGAAAAATCACAGTTTGAAGAAACTGGAAACAATAAACATGTGGAAATTGTCCTCATAGAATATTTAGACAATTTCACAGTAGAGAAAGAAACTTACGCCATATATTCCAGAAGCATTGCATGGTGATAATAAAATAATGGGAACAAGCTTTGAAAGTGCTCCCTCTAATCTTATTCCCATATGTTTTTGATAAAGGGTAACTTTTGTTTGCCGTTACGATAGTAGTACAATTCAAGGTGAGATTTCGCTTGCAGAATCATTGGGGTGTTGCATTTCTTGTCAGAACCCTGTGGCTGGTAATACTGTTGCCTGAGTTTTGCCTGGGCCTGCTGGGCTGGCAGGCTGTGCTCAGCTCACACTCCTGGTCTGGATCCCACACCTGCCAAGGGCAAGTCAGGTGGCAAGGAATGTGTGAGCGAGTGAGCATGGGGTCTGGCAACTGTGCACAGCCAGGCATGTTGGCTGTTCAGAGCAGGCAGCTCTAGGTGCCAGCATGGGTGCCAGATCCCTGTGAGGCTGCAGCTGAAGCAGTCACTCCCCAAGCAGCTTCTACACTGGCATTGGGGAGCATGGTGGCACCTAGAAGCCTGGAGACCCCAGAAATCAAGGCGCCAAAAAGGGAGTCACAGCCCTGGCTCGGTGAGCTCCCTTAAGAGTCACAGGTCTTGTCTCCTTCTCTTTGCCCACAACAAGGCAAGCAAAGCGTGTGTTTCAGCCCTATTTGTGTTACAGCTTTTTTAGCCTCACCATTTGGCAGATCCCTGGTCCTTACCTGTGCTAGGGAGAAGGAGATTCGCAGATATGTGGAGGGTGATCAGGACAAAGAGGAGCTTTATTAAGTAATAGAACAGCTCACAGACCTGCAGTGGGCAGCTCCTCTTCAGAGCCAGTTTGTCCTGGCACCTGTTCAGCTCTCAGCAGAGAGGGTAGCTGGTGAGGTCACCTTCACTTTGCAGCTAAAAGGAGACCCTGGGGAGGGCAACTCCTCTCTGCAGCAGGTCTTCCTCATCTCCCTGTTCTCTTTCTCTTCTCTCTCCATCCTCTGCTCAAGTCAGCGTGAGACCATGGCTTTTATGGGCCTTAGAGGGGAGGAAGTATGCACAATGGACAGCCATGGGGCAAGCCCAGAAAAGTCACAAGTTTTCACTGCTGATAGCAGGACTGGCAGCCCAGCCCATAGCCCTCTGACACTTCTTGGCCTGAAGGAGAGGCCTCACCAGGGACTTGTCTGCTTCTGCCCAGTAGGCTGTCTGCCTCCCACTGTTGTCCACATCACCCAGGCTGCTCATGCCAAGGGTCACCTGTAGGCCAGCTCCAGTTGCCCTCAGCCTGTCTTCCCTCAGACTCCCCATGGCTGAGGTGGCAGGAGGCTGGTGTGTCAATGCTGCCCTGAGTGCACACACCCGGTGAGGCTGTGACAGCACCAGGGCTTGGCCAACTTCACTCTGAGATTAGAGCAGGCACTTGAGAGCCGGAACAGGCCAGGGCAGGGGCCTGGCAGTGGGACAAACACCTCCAAGCCTGCAGGGACAGGGCAGGCCTTTTTGACCTTGAGGGTGTGGAGTGTAGAGTGTCCTGGATCCTGATGTGGAGGGTGGGGCTCCCTCCCAATCTATGGAGCCTTCACGTGGCCCTGTCACACCTTCTCACAACCTGGGGTGGGCAGCGTCCCTCACTGGGCCCAGACTGGCATCTGGGGCAAGGATTATGTCTCTGCAAGTTCTTCCCCTAACACTCAGGGGTATCCATGTTTCCCTCGTCACTTGGATGGGGCAGAGGAGGCACCTTGGGGAGCAGGTCACAGCCTGGCCTGGCTGTCAAGACCATCAGGGACCGTGGCCATCACTGCACATACAATCCTGGGTGGCCTCAGGCAGCGCCTCCTCCTGCGGGGCAGAAATGGTGTTCCCTCAGCAGGATGGACAGTGGCCTTGCCTCTGGCAGAGTCACTAAGGTGGGGTCACTCCCACTTCCCTCCCTGAGCCCCTGAAGCGTGGCGCCAGCTCCATGTCCTCCCCACAGCTGCAGGGTGAAAGCAGCAACACAAAAGTGGTGGGGGCTCTGGAACTGGGGGTGGGACTTGCCAACTGCTCAAGGGTTGGGACAGCACAGTCGTCTGCCTCAGGGATTCCAGGGACGAGGGACATGGGGAACAGTGGTCCCACCACGGCCACTCCTCCTACAGTCGCTCCTGAGGCCACCACTTACAACTTCCCACTGCAGCCGACCACTCTGGACAGTTCGCCACTGCCATCATCAGCACCCTTTAATTCTCAAATACTGAGGCAAACGTTAGCTGGCTTTTCTAGATTACCATCATCACAATTAGTTTCTTTTTTTCACAATTTATTTCTTCTTTTCTTTTCTTTCTTTTTTCCTTCCTTCCTTCCTTCCTCCCTTCCTTCCTCCCTCCCTCCCTTCCTTCCTTTCTTCCTTCCTTCTTTCCTTCCTTTTCTTATTTCTTTCTTTCCTTCTTTCTTTTTGTTACTATCTCCCTCTGTCACCCAGGCAGGAATGCAGTGGCGTAATCTTGGGTCACTGCAGCCTGGGTGTTCCAGGATCAAGTAATCTTCCCACCTCCCAAGCAGCTGAGACTAAATTAGTTTCTAAGTAACTTATTATTTTCTGTTGATCAAATTAAGTGTGATATTCTGGTTGCAATTGCACAACATCCAATAGTACTGAATTATTATTGGGAAATAGAGGCATGGTTTATTCTCAAATCCAGGGACAATAGTGATTTTACCCATGAAAATTTGAACTTTCTATATTAATAGAAGTGTATTTTTCCAAAGTAAATGAGACATTTTTTTCTTATATTTTGAGATGATTGAATATACTATTTTATGATGAGAAATCTGAATAATGCTTCTGAGTAATAGTTTATATTTATGAATTTTGAGATCACTGTTACCTTTAATAAGCAGGAGACTACTCAAGAGCTATGGGTGTCATCACATAAGATAGATGCAAATGTTGTCATTTTCAGAGGAGGGGAAGGATGATGATGAGGGGAATCCTTTGAAGAAACCAGAATTACTACACAGTATCTTCCTCATAATGTGTAATGCTGTCATTCATTAAATGTAGTCCTACTGCTATGAACATCCATAAATTAAAGGGATATAAATAATTTTAATACCAAGGGACATTATTCTCAGAAATAGAATGTGAAGGAACATGATAAGTGGCTGAGCTTGAGGGGTATATCATTTGGTTCAATCTATAGTGAACCATTAACTAGCTTTGTATCTTTGCAAAAGTTATTTTATCTTCATTGTTTTATTCTCCCCACCTGCAAGCATGAAAAGGGTGTTTCTTCTTCTAAGCGGATGTGAGAATTAAATACAAACATGAAGTATAGAAGCCCTCAGTACAATTCTGAGTACAAAGTAAAATACTCATGTTTACTGCAGTAGGATGAGAATCCTGCCCCTGCAAACACTAATGTACATAGGAATGAGTGCCTATCAGAACTGTGGTTGAGTGTGTATTCATGCAGAACTTTATATGTACAGTTATACATTGAAGTCCATTCTGAATCTTAGACGTTACATTTATCTTAATATAAAGTATAATAATAATCTAAAGGTAGTATTGTATGTTTAAAATTAGATGATTACATCAACTGATGTAATTTATAATTTTTCTCTAGAGTTCTCTTTCCTGAACATTCTTTTTTACCTATTATTTAGAGAAGACATCTTGCATTTTCCTATATGATAAAACAAGAGAAGCATAATAGTGAAGGGCCATAGCCCCAGTGAAATGAGGAAATCATAATGGGAACCAGGAATGAGGGATTGAACACCCTTCGCACACAATATTGGTTATGACAAAACAGAATTTTTCTGTTAACAGCTGACTTTCAGTCCTTGATCAATCTCTCAGACCCCTGAATACTTTGATTGCACTGATGACCTTATCACATCGTTAAGGTAAGTGCTATACAAAGGCACCTTCAGACCCTCCATTGCACATAAATGGCCCCTGCAAGCCCCTTGCCTGTGTGTGTTCTGGAGGTGCCACTAACCTTGGGGGCAGCATCAGGAGACACCTTTGAAAAAGCTTCTTTACTCAGATTAAATTATTAACTAACTCTCCATTTCCTTTAACTTATTAAAAACATCCCTACCTGTAAAAGGGACAGATTAAACTCTCTAGTTAACAGCTGTCATTCTGCCATATCATCAGATACCAGGGGCTGATGCTCTTTGAGGCATCCACAGAATCACAGCATTTTCCACTATTGAAAGACCTGAAAGATCACAGGGCCTTTATTTCAACTGTGAGACATGAAGTAATTTTTCCTAATCTACAACATTACGTTATGGCGCAATAAGGACCAGATTAAAGGTCTCCTGATTTCCAACCATGTTCCCTCCATCTCCTTTACCCTAAACACTCTCACTCCTGCAAACTCTTCTATTGTCAAGTGGGTAATGAGTGCCCTTACAAGGCTCAAACTTACAAACACATCACTGACCAGCACAGAGCTGGCTCACAATAGGGACCCAATTAAAGTGCTACGTGCAACTGGATCAAAACTTTCAAGTACTAAATTAAAACAATCCTTTAAAGAAGAAAATTGTTTCAGAATAGGACCGTCATACTGCATCTCTGACCAGCAACTGATGATGCTATTGAACTCAGATGCTGATTGGTTCCCCAACATGAGATTACCCAATCCAGGAACAAGGACATGAGTAACTCCCTCTGTTTGGGATGTGATTGGGAGGGGGGTGTCATAGATCTCCCTGAATGAGACTTACCTGCTGCTCTGGCACCTAGTCCTGTCCTGTCGTCCAGCATTGTGTGTCTGAGGCTCCTGCATGGCAGCGCTGATAGTGACACTGATAGCGCTAAGCTCCCCACTGGCTTTGGCTGGGGACACACGACCTAAGTGCACATTGTGGGTGCTAAGCTACTATGGCATCAGGAAAGTAGGGAGCAAATCGTCACTGTGCCCAGGCCATGTCCCTTAAGGAATTTTGATGTTTTCTTTCTTTAATTAATTAATTTATTTTTTATTTTACTTTAAGTTCTGGGATACATGTGCAGATCTTGCAGGATTGTTACATAGATATACACATGCCATGGTAGTTTGCTGCCTTCATCCCCATCACGTACATTAGGTATTTCTCCTATTGTTATCCCTCCCCAATCTCCCCACCGGCTGTTATCCCTCCCTTAGCCCCCAACCCCCAACAGACCCCAGTGTGTGATGATCCCCTCCCTGTGTCCATGTTTACTCATTGTTCAACACCCACTTATGCGTGAGAACATGTGGTGTTTTGTTTTCTGTTCTTGTGTCAATTTGCTGAGAATGATGGTTTCCAGATTCATCCACGTCCCTGCAAAGGACATGAACTCATCCTTTTTTGTGGCTACATAGTATTCCATGACATATATGTGCCACTTTTCTTTAACTAGTTTTTCTTGAATGGGCATTTGGGTTGGTTCCAAGTCTTTGCTATTGTAAACAGTGCCCCAAGGAACATACGTGTGCATGTCTTTATAATAGAATGATTTATAATACCATGGGTATATACTCATTAATGGGATTGCTGGGTTAAATGGAATTTCTATTTCTAGATCCTTGAGGAATTGCCACACTGTCTTCCACAATGGTTGAACTAATGTACAATCCCACCAACAGTGTAAAAGTGTTCCTATTTCTCCATGTCCTCTCCAGCATCTGTCTCCAGATTTTTTAACCATTGCCATTCTAACTGGCGTGAGATGGTTTCTCAATGTGAATTGATTTTGATTTGTATGTCTCTAATGACCAGTGATGATGAGCCTTTTTTCATGTTTGTTGGCCACATAAATGTCTTATTTTGAAAAATGTCTCTTCATGTCCCTCACCCACTTTTGAATGGGTTGGTTTGTTTTTTTTCTTGTAAATCTGTTTTAGTTCTTTGTAGATTCTGGATATTAGCCCTTTCTCAGATGGGGAGATTGCAAAATTTTTTTCCCATTCTCTTGGTTGCTCGTTCACTCTAATGATTGTTTCTTTTGCTGTGCAAAAGCTCTTAAGTTTAATTAGATCCCATTTGTCTATTTTGGCTTTTGTTACCAGTGCTTCTGGTGTTTTAGTCACGAAGTCCTTGCCTATGCCTACATCCTGAATGGTTTTGCCTAGGTTTTCTTCTAGCATTTTTACGGTGTTAGGTCTTATGTTTAACTCTTTAATCTATCTAGAGTTAATTTTTGTGTAAGGTGTAAGGAAGGGGTCCAGTTTCAGCTTTCTGGACATGGCTAGCCAGTTTTCCCAACACCATTTATTAAACAGGGAATACTTTCCCTATTGCTTGTTTTCATGAGGGTTGTCAAAGGTAAGATTGTTGTAGACATGTGGCATTACTTCTGAGGCCTCTGTCTGTTCTATAGGCCTGTATCTCTCTTTTGGTAGAAGTCCCATCCTGTTTTGATTACTGTAGCCTTGTAGCATAATTTGAAGTCAGGTAGTGTGATGCCTCCAGCTTTGTTCTTTTTGCTTTGCATTGTCTTGGCTACATGGGCTTTTTTTTTGGTTCCATATGAAGATTAAGGTGGTTTTTTTCCAGTTCTGTGAAGAAGGTCAATGGTAGTCTGATGGAGATGGGAATAGCACTGAATCTATAAATTACTTTGGACAGTATGGCCGTTTTCACAATATTGATTCTCCCTAACCATGAGTATGGAATGTTTTTTCATCTGTTTATGTCCTCTCTTATTTCCTTGAGCAGTGGTTTGTAGTTCTCCTTAAAGAGGTTCTTCACATCCTTTTTTACTTGTATTCCTAGGTATTTTATTCTGTTTGTAGCAATTGTGAACGGGAGTTCACTCATGATTTGGCTCTTGTTTGTCTGTTATTGATATATAGGAATGCTTGTGATTTTTGCATATTGATTTTGTATCCTGAGACTTTGCTGAAGTTGCTTATCAGCTTATGGAGATTTGGGCTGAGGCAATGGGGTCTTCTAAAAATCAATCTTGTCATCTGCAAATAGAGACAATTTGACTTCCTCTTTTCCTAATTAAATACCATTTATTTCTTTTTCTTGCCTGATTGCTCTGGGTGGACCTTCCAATACTATGTTGAATAGGAATGGTGAGAGAAGGCTCCCTTGCCTACTGCCAGTTTTCAAAGGGAATGCTTCCAGTTTTTGCCCATTCAGTATGATATTGGCTGTGGGTTTGTCATAAATAGCTTTTATTATTTTTAGATACATTCATCAATACCTAGTTTATTAAGGGTTTTTAGCATAAAGGGCTGTTAAATTTTGTCAAGGCCTTCTCTGCATCTATTGAGATAATCATGTGGTTTTGTCTTTTGTTCTGTTTATATGATGGATTACGTTTATAGATTTGTGTATGTTGAACCAGCCTTGCATCTGCAGGATGAAGCCTACTTCATTGTGATGAAAAAGATTTTTGGTGTGCTGTTGCACTCAGTTTGTCAGCATTTTATTGAAGATCTTTGCATCGATGTTCATCATGGATATTGGCCTGAAATTTTCTTTTTTAGTTGTGTCTCTGCCAGGTTTTGGTATCAGGATGATGTTGGTCTCATAAAATGAGTTGGGTAGGATTCCTTCTTTTTGTATGTTTTGGAATAACTTCTGAAGGAATGGAACCAATTCCCCTTTTTACATCTAGTAGAATTCAGCAGTGAACCTGTCGAGACCTGGACTTTTTTTTTTTGGTTAGTAGGTTATTAATTGTTGCCTCTACTTCAGACCTTGTTATTGATCTATTCAGGGATTCAACTTCTTCCTGGTTTAGTCTTTGGAGGCTGTAAGTGTCCAGGAATTTACCCGTTTCTTCCAGGTTTACTGGTTTACGTGCATAGAGTTGTTTGTAGTAACGTCTGATGGTAGTTTGTATTTCTGTGGAATCAGTGGTGATATCCTCTTTATCATTTTTTATTGCATCTATTCAATTCTTCTCTCTTTTCTTTTTTCTTAGTATGGCTAGCAGTCTATCTCTTTTATTGGTCTTTTCAAAAAACCAGCTCCTGGATTTATTGATTTTGGTGAAGGATTTTTTTGTGTCTCCATTTCCTTCAGTTCTGTTCTAATCTCAGTTATTTCTTGTTTTCTGTTAGCTTTTGAATTTGTTTGATCTTGCTCCTCTAGCTCTTTTAATTTTGATGGTAGGGTGTTGATTTTAGATCTTCCTTATTTCTCATGTGGGCATTTAGTGCTATAAATTTCCCTCTAAATACTAGTTTAAATGTGTTCTAGAGGAGGTAGAGGTTGCAGTGAGCCGAGATCATGCCACTGCCCTTTAGCCTGGCACTTGGCGACAAAGCACGACTCTGTCTCAAAAATAAATAAATAAATTAATTAATTTAATTTAATTTAAATAAATAAATAGATAAATAAATAAATGTGTCCCAGCAATTATAGTACGTTGTGTCTTTGCTCTCTTTGGCTTTGAAGAACATATTTATATCTGCCTTCATTTCATTATTTATCCAGTAGTCATTCAGGAGCAGGTTATTCAGTTTTCATGTAGTTGTGTGGTTTTGAGTGAGTTTCTTAATGCTGAGTTCTAATTTGATTGCACTGTGGTCTGAGAGACTGATCGTTATGATTTCTGTTCTTTTGCATTTGCTGAGCAGGGATTTACTCCCAATTATGTGGTCAGTTTTAGAGTAAGTGCCATGTGGTGCTGAGAAGAATGTATATTCCGTGGATTTGGGGTGGAGAGTTCTATAGATGTCTACCAGGCATGTTTGGTCCAGATCTGAGTTCAAGTCCTGGATATACTTGTTAATTTTCTGTTTCATTGATCTGTCTAATATTGACAGTGGAGTGTTAATGTCTCCCACTATTATTGTGTGGGAGCCTAAGTCCTTTTGTAGGCCATGCTTTGTGTATCTACTTGCTCCTGTATTGGGTGCATAGATGTTTAGGACAGTTAGCTCTTCTTGTTGCATTGCTCCTTTTACAATTATGTAATGCCCTTCTTTGTCTCTTTTAATCTTTGTTGGTTTAAAGTCTATTTTTTTCAGAGACTAGAGTTGCAAACCCTGCTTTCCTTCTCTGTCTCCATTTGCTGAGTAGATCTTCCTCCATCCCTTTATTTTGAGTCTATGTGAGTCTTTGCACATGAGATGGGTCTCCTGAAACAGCACACTGATGGGTCTTGACTTTTTATTCTATTTGCCATTCTGTGTCTTTTGATTGGGGCATTTAGCCCATTCACATTTAACATTAATATTGTTATGTGTGAATTTGATCCTGCCATTTTGATACTAGCTGGTTGTTTTGCCCATTAGTTGACACAGTTTCTTCATTGTGTCAATGGCCTTCACCATTTGGTAGGTTTTTCCAGTGGCTGATACTGGTTGTTGCTTTCCATGTTTAGTGCCTCCTTCAGCAGCTCTTGCAAGGCAGGGCTGGTGGTGACAAAATCTCTCAGCAATTGCTCATCCATAAAGGATTTTATTTCTCCTATATTTAGCTTAGCTTGGCTGGATATGAAATTCTGGGTTGATAGTTCTTTTCTTTAAGGATTTTGAATATTGGCCCCCCACTCTCTTCTGGCTTGTAGGGTTTCTGCTGAGAGATCCACTGTGAGTCTGGTGGGCTTCCCTTTGTGGGTAACCCGACCTTTCTCTCTGGCTGCCCTTAAGCATTTTTTTCCATCATTTCAATCCTGGTGAATCTGACAATTATGTGCCTTGGGTTGCTTTTCTTGAAGAATATCTTTGTGGTGTTCTCTGTATTTCCTGGACTTGAATGTTTGCCTGCCTTGCTAGGTGGGGAAGTTCTCCTGAATAATATCCTGAAGAGTGTTTTCCAGTTTGGATTCATTCTCCCTGTCACATTCAGGTACACCAATCAAGAGTAGATTAGGTCTTTTCACAAAATCCCATATTTCGTGGAGGCTTTGTTCATTTCTTT